AAATTTTTCCGGGATAAAAAGTACCCTATTATTTAATCCGGACTTCTAACTTTACGTCTGCAACAAATCAAAGCAATCGGTTTAGTAGTTACGGCGTGAAAGCGGAACAAACAAACAAACAAACTAACTCACTTTCCGATTTATAATATTAGTAAGGAAGTAAGGATGAGGGACGACGTAGAAGGTCACCGCAGCTCCAGCTGTATGCAGGAGTAGGAACGGGGTGGTGTTTAGTCAGTAAGAGTCTGACACTCTCTCATCTTACACAGGACATAAGTATCTGTGGCACCTCTCATCATTTTCATCATCAACAGCCTATAAATGCCCACTGCCGACCAAAGCCCTCTTCTCACACGGAGAAGGTTTGAGTATTAATCACCACGCTAGCTCAATGCGGGTTGTCGATGTCAAACTTATAATCAGAAATTATTAGCAACCCGCCCCGGCTTCACACGCGTGCAATATTCATGTATTATACATAGAAACCTTCCTTAAGAATCACTCTATCTATTAAAAAAACCGCATCAAAATCCGTTGCGCAGTTTTAAAGATCTAAGCATACATATGGACAGACAGACGGCGGATAGCGACTTTGTTTTATACTATGTAGTGATAGTGATAAGCCCAGGTTTCCTCACGATGTTTTCCTTCACCGTTTGTCAGTGGTGTCTAAATAATCTTAGAAAGTACATATAACTCGGAAAAAGTCACATTGGTACTTGTCGTTGGTAGGTTTTGAACCAGCACCCTTATGCATGAGAAGCAGGCGTCTTCAACCTCCGGACCACCACGACAACGTTTATGACACCTCTGTAAACCCACTTATGTTATGATAGGTGTGTATATTATAATAGATTCGGTACAATCAGAGCGTGGCGGGTTTCTCTACGGCGTCGATTACGTGGGCATTCCTATTTGTTACTGGTATCTTTAATAGCAGATTTTATATGTATTTTTATGAAGTGTGAGAGCCATGTTTCAACACGAATGGGCCGGCTCGACCGGAGTGATACCACGGCCGAGTACAAAACCGACGTGAAACAACGCTTTCGTTGTATCTCGTGTGATATTTTCCTTCACCGTTTGTCAGTTGTATCTAAATAATCTTAAAAAGTATATATAACTTGGAAAAAGTCACATTGGTACTTGCCGTTGGTAGATTTCGAGCCCGCGCCCTCATGCATGAGAAGGGGGCGTCTTAAACCTCCGGGCCACCACGACATTCACGGGGGTAGAGTAGCGATGCTGACAAATGTAACAAACTCCGCATGGGTTTCCCAACCTCGCTAAACCACTTTCCCCAAAAGGGTACAAGCAGAGATGCAATGATACCTTACAAAATTAACAGTAATACAAAAAACTATCTTACTTATGATTTCAAGGCTTGCTTTGCATACTTTGCGTAACGCTAGATAGCTGGCTAGGCGATTAGGTAATCGAAGTTAAGCAACGGTCGACGCGGCCGCGAATTGGAAGGTGACCACGGGTAATTACTTCGTGAATTTACTTCTGAGTTTAGTTAACTAAATATTGTGTGTGTTTGCATTTATAACATTCTTAATTTTGCCAACAACTTGTATCGCTTTACCGGGGGATGAAAAGTAGCCTATGTGGTTATTCCACGTCAATCTATGCCTGGTGCAAATTTCATCCCGATCCCTTCAGTCGTTTTAGACGTGATTGTGTTACAGACATTCAGACAAACCTTCGCATTTATAATATTAGTAAGATATTAGATTTGCTCTATTATTATATATTATCTTCATAAGTGAAAATCTATATTAAATAATATTATAATGCTGAAGAGTGCGTTTGATCGTGCTAATCTCAGGAACTACTAATTCGATTTAAATAATTATTTTTGTGTTGGTTAGCCCATTTATCGAGGAAGGCTGTAGGCTATAAAATATCACGCTACGACCAATAGGAGCCGAGCAGCGGGTAAAACTATGCGGGAGCAGTGAAATATATTTATGACTAGCTGTTGTCTGCGACTTCGTCCGCGTAGAATATGAATTTTAGGTCATTTTTATTTATAAACTATGTACATACTACTGTCATTACAGGAACTAATATTTAATGCGTATGTCAATATTTTTTTTTAAGGGGGGAAAATCATCGAATGACTGCTCCCGCCTGGTTGAGGCGGGAGGGAGTGTCAGACTCTTACTGACTAAAAACCACTCCGTTCCTTCTCCTGCACTTGGAGCCGGAGCCCCGGTAACCCGTTAGGTTCTCCGCGACAATATTTATAGAATAAAATTACAATGTCTCTATTTTATAATTAAACTGTCAAACACCAAGCGGTCACCGGTGACCGCATTGTTCTTTAATTGTGTCTATAAATACGGTACTCGACGAGTTAAGTACTACAACATTAATTATTATGGTATTCATTACTGTTTATGTTTCAATTTTCCAAAATAATAGTATACTATGTTACTCTTTAGTACATAGCTACCTGCCCATAAGTCTCAGTCCTCAGTCCCGCCATTCTAGAAATTATTATAATAGGTAAGAAAAATGACATATGCAAAATCATGCAATTAAAAACTATTAGTAGCTAATAAAATAATAATAATAATAGACTTTTAAATTATCTGACTGTGCATAAATATCTTTAAATAATGTTATTATATTTAATAATCTCCATTAAGGTTCAGTTGCGTTTTAAAAAATTACTATAATGATAACTCACTGTCATGAAATTAATATAGTGGTTTAAAATAAAATCATCAACAGCCTATAAGTGGCCACTGACTACGGCAGTAGGCCGATTCCTGAGGAATTACTGTTGGTACGTGGTGGTTGGTGGTTTTAAGTGTGGGAGAGCCATGCTTCGGCACGAATGGGCCGGCTCGACCGGAGTGATACCACGGCCGAGCAGAAAACCGACGTGAAACAATGCTTGCGTTGTGTTTCGTCGTGTGAGTAAGGTTAACAACTACCCTCCCCTTCCCCAATCTCCCCAATTCCTGAATCCCTAACGATCCTCAAAATCCTAATCCCCAAAAGGCCGGTAGCGCACTTGTAGCGCCTTTGGTGTTCCAAATATCCATGGTCGACGCCCATTGCTTACCATCAGGTGATTCGTCTGCTCGTTTACCAGCTTATGTCACAAAAAAGCGTTAGTGAATCTATTTCCTCGTTCCAAGGTGTATATTCCAAGAAGAACGAGCAAGAAACTCCATAGGCTACTCTTTTTCAATCAGTTTCACAATACAAGGCCACCCCATGCGAAGTAACGCATACTAAATATAATATAACCTTGAATTCAAGTTAATTACACAGTCAGTTGTTAGTGTCACGCGGCACTTAAATGAAATTACTATTTTTTACACACATTTTACACATACACATCTTTATTACGTGTAATTATGTAAAACACGGAAAAGGTATAAATAAATAAATCAGGTTTTATGATTGATTTGATTGGTCTACAATCTAAATTATCTAGTCATGGCAGGCCGAAAAGGAGATGGCGGGACCAACTGGACGTCTTTTTTTTTTAAGGGGGAAATTCATTGAAAGGTTGCTCCCGCCTGGGTGAGGCGGGAGGGGGTGTCAGACTCATAGTGACCAAAAACCACCCCGTTCCTTCTCCTGCACGTCTAGCCGGAGCCCCGGTAACCAGTTTCTATGACAAGGATCATCATTCCTTGGGAAACCATCATTCCTTGGGAAACCTTTGCCCTGCAGTGGGACGATCATAGCTGAAATAAAATAAATAGTCATCATCTTGTAGTCCTTATCCCAAGGTACTTGTGTCTACAATATGTCTCCTTCCATTCTCCCACGGAGTACCTAACGGTCGCGGAGAACTTAACGGGTTACCGGGGCTCTGGCTCGACGTGCCGGAGGTAACCGGGGCTTTGGCTCGACGTGCAGAAAAGGAACGGGGTGGTTTTTAGTCAGTAAGAGTCTGACACTCCCTCCCGCCTCAACCAGGCGGGAGGAGTCATTAGAAGATTTTCCCCCCTATAAAAAGAAAATCTCCCCTATCAGACGTCATCACATCACAAACTTCTTTCTCTTACATATCATTGTTTACACAATTCAGCTTTGGTCGTCCTCAACAATTCGCTTTGTCATCACAAAATATCTTTGACGGTTTTTTCGGGACAAGCCGGCAAAACGAGCATACGGATCCCATCACCTGATGGTTAGCGATCAGCGCCGCCCATGGAAGCCAGCAACACTAGAGGAGTCACAGGTGCGTTACCGGCCATTAAAAAGGAATACGCTTATTTCTTGAAAGTTTGAAGGTCGTATAAATGTATCTGAATACCTTTTGAGAATTGGTGGTGAAAATAAACGATGTGACTTTATGAGCAGGAAAAAATCCTTAAGATTTCCTTATTTCTTTTTTGAGTTCAGTTCAAGGTAATACTGGGTAAAGTGCATAGGTACTTTTAATAATATTTTCCTCTATTTAGGCCTTCAGAAAACAAAAGCCGTGATGAGATCGTGACGCAAATCGTACGAAGACAAAACACACCAATTTATCTTAACCAACGTTCAATAAAAGATCAATTCACATAAGCTGTACACAATGTCAACGACACTGCCTTGAACCGACTTGGCGACCTTAAGAAAAAAACATTTTAAATACGAAACGAGGTAGCGGAAGAGGAGATATTAAAAAAAAACTTGTTTTTCAAAATTCTTCACCCTTTGTTGTGTACATAAATAACAAGAAGGAACTTAAGAAAACTATTATTGGATTTATTGGTCATAAAAATTCATCAATGTTTACCTACAAGGATATGAATGTTGACTGTCCAGGCGAGCAGGCGACACACGTACTTAGGTATCGTCATGAGCTAATGTTCACATGTAAACAGCAGCTCATGTAGTGTAGATGTCCAGTCAACAAGGATGTAGCGAGGTTGACTGTCCAGGCGACACACGTACTTAGGTATCGTCATGAGCTAATGTTCATATGTAAACAGCAGCTCATGTAGTATAGATGTCCAGTACTTATAGTCTACGGTACTTACCAACATAGGTATGTTCGGGACCACTACAGCATCATCATCCATGCCCCTGCTGAGTTCTGGTTGGAAGGTGTAAGTCCTCTTGTAGTGGAATGAAAGGGTTCCATTCTCGTTGTCCGTGATATTCACCTTCTCCCATTCTTCCCTGGTAAAGAGAAAAGAGTTTTACATGATTCAAATGGTGTATGTTATGAAGCTTTGCAGCTTTACTATCTTTGGATTTTTTGCTCGTCTATGTTCTATAGAGAAGAACGAGCAAGAAACTCCTTTGTCACTCTTTGCAATCAGCTTTACTGGCGAATTTTGTTTTGCCATTTGAGTGAGGTTACCGAGGGACCAATTACCATCTCCCAAATCTTCTTAATCCTCCAATCCCTAATTTTTAAATGGCACCTATTTTTGGAGACAAAGACAAGGGAGTGTGGGATTTGCATCGCAATAAAACCACCCCGGTGGCCACCTTCAGCACCTATAGGGGACACCAGATCCTCTAACAGACCTGCCCCGGACTTCCTACAGTGCAACGCCAGTTGTGAGACATCCTTAGGAATCCTCAAATATCTACCCACAAAAGGCAGCCAGCGCACTTGTAACTCTTCCAGTGTTGAGATACTGGTGGAACCAGTGGTGTCCATAGATGGCGCCGATTGCTTACCATCAGGTGATACATCTGTTCGTTTAATTCTTTTTTGTATTAAGCAGGTTTAACACAACATCATAACATAGGGATAGGCAGAGGTGTACATTACGACACTCAATGCCACTGTACAATGTAACACCCACTTTTTACTATTTATGTTATGAGTCCCATGTAATAGGGGGTGAGCCTATTCCCATATACCGGGCAAAATTTCAGACTCCATGCTACTACTGAGATCTATTTTAAAAGACCCAGTAATACTTTTCCCGACCCGGGAATCGAACCCGAGACCCCTTGTCCAGCAGTCGCACTTGTGAACGAGGGCAACGAGGCAGTCAGCAGGTTAAGTAATGTAATATAGATACTTACGAGTAAACATAAGGTCCCAGCTCATCAAGGATCGGTTTAGATCCATTATTGAGGAACTCATCAGCATTGGTCACGTTGTACACGTAGACTTTGACAAACGGTCGCACCGGGGGTCTCGCCCACCACTCGAAGGTCATCGAGCCGGGGCGGAGGATCAGCTCCTGAGGAGGGAAAGGTGGTTCAGTGGCAGATAATCAACAAACACGGACGATGTACGTATTTATGTATTCACCTCTATATACAGCCGTAAAAATGTGACATCTTATACTATTATATAAAGAGGAATTTGTTTTTTTGTTTGTTTGTTTGTTTGAACGCGCCAATCTCCGAAACTACTGGTACGATTTGAAAAGTTCTTTCTGTCTTGGATAGCCCATTTATCTAAGAAGGCTCACAAAAAATCACGCTACGATTAATAGGCGCCGAGCAGAGCGAGTGAAACCGCGCGGAAGTAGCTAGTTATTATAAAGTAATTTATAATGGCATAACCTCTTAAGGGCAATAAAAAGTTTTCAAGTGAAACAAGTGAAACAAGTGAATTTATTTCTGCAAATAGGCTACAAGGCAGCACTTTTACACGTCAATTTTATCAAGCGAACGATGAGGTCGACATTTCCTAACTGACTACTCTGAGAAGAAATGCCGAAACAAACTCAGAGGTCTGTCTCTTTTAAAGTCCAGACAAATATGTATAAAAAGATTACGTGTGAGAACCGTGCAAGTTCTTTCTGTAGTGGCCTTTTGAGGAAAGAACCACAACAGTTTGAGCGGACCCGTTCTGAAAGCAGTACGCATGTGTCGGTTTACAGTCAGCTCAATTAACAGATGAGGCTGAGTGATTCGACGAACAATACCAACCTAAAGAACATTTGCGTGGGTCGCACAAATACTCAAACTGTCAGAGTATGAGTAAGAAATAAGAAAAGAAATGGCGAGGCAAAGTCTCGCACGGTCCTAGCACTAACAATTGTAAAAAAATAGAGGTAAATGTCAAGTTTAAAAAATATAAATTTTTCAAATGAAAAACAATATCACATTATGCTAATAATGTCAAATTGCATATAAAAAGAAATGTAACTATATGTTACAAACATGTCAACATGACCTGTGTGGACGTTACAGCAGCTTATTCCCAAGCCAGACTATCATCTAGGTAGTCTTTTATTTTATAAAAAGCTTTACTAAAAAGTTTATCTTTAATGACATTTTTAAATTTATTTAGACTCAAATTTTGGATATGGCTGGGAATTTTATTGTAAAAGCGTATACTCTGACATCTAAACGAACCACTTATTTTCTTTAGTCTAGTAGTGGGAACAACATATTTGTCTTTATTTCTCGTGTTGATATTATGTATATCACTATGCTTTTTAAATAAACTTTTGTTTTTATGAGCATATACTACATTTTCATAAATGTATTGAGAGGCAACAGTCATTACATTAATTTCTTTAAATAGTTCCCTGAGAGAGTACCTCGGACTAAGATTATAAATTGATCGAATGGCCCTCTTCTGCAAAACAAAGATAGATTGAATGTCAGCAGCATTCCCCCATAGGAGAATACCGTATGACATAACACTATGAAAATAACTAAAGTATACTAATCGTGCTGTATCTACATCGGTTAAATTTCTAATTTTTTTAACGGCATATGCTGCAGAACTAAGCCTTTTCGATAACTTATCTATATGTGGAGCCCACTGGAGCTTAGCGTCTAGGGTTATACCTAAAAAGACAGCAGAATCTACAGGGCCCAACTCATCACCCTTAATTAACACGCTGGTCTTTACATGTCTAACATTTGGCGTTGTAAATTTAATGCATTTAGTTTTAGTTTCATTTAGTAGTAGATTGTTGGCACTAAACCAATGTACTATCTCCGAGAGAGCGCTGTTTACATTATCAATGACTAATTGTCTACGTTTAAGTTTGAATAATAACGAAGTATCATCCGCAAACAGTACTATCCCGTGGTTATCCTTTACAAGGTAAGGCAAGTCATTTATATATATAAGAAACAAAAAAGGGCCGAGAATTGACCCCTGCGGAACCCCCATCCTGACAACAGACCCGGCGGAGACTTTTCCGTTTATCTCGACTCTCTGAATCCTGTTACTCAAGTATGAGGTAAGAAGATCCAGAGATTTACCTCTTATTCCATAGTGGGATAGCTTCCTGATCAATATATCATGAAGGACACAATCGAACGCCTTGGATAAGTCACAAAAAATGCCCAAAGCGTCGCTTGAGTCCTCCCACGCGTCATATATATGATTAAGAAGTTCAACACCAGCATCAGTTGTTGAACGACTCCTGGTAAAACCAAACTGGCTACCATGTAACAATTTATTTCTATTAAAAAATCTTTGCATTTGATTTAGAATATTTTTTTCAAAAATTTTACTAAATGTAGGCAGTACTGAAATAGGTCTAAAGTTAGTGGGGTCAGAAGTACTACCTGATTTAAATAACGGAGTTATTTTACTATTTTTCATAAGATCAGGAAACACACCGCGGTCGATACAGTTATTAAAAATTAGAGCTAATAAAGGTGCTATAATAGCTATAACAGAGCCGGCGATGTACACAGAATTACCCCACAAATCTGCAGTCTTTTTCTTATTTAAGGTATGGAAGGTTTTGACAATATCTATATAATCTATGTGTTCAAAAGAGAACCCTATGCTGCAAGCTGTAACATTTTCTTTTAGGATATACAGAATGTTGTTTCAGTAAGTAAACTGCATCAATATCGGTTGTCCTAAACGTTAGATAACTGCGGACGATGTATACATACGTTTATGTTAAAGTACCTACTCCTTCTTCTTTGAAGTCGTCTTTAAAATTTGCTAAAAAATACCTCACAATTTTTTTTTATGCTATAAGCCGGTATACGATCTGACGGATGACCTCATGGTAAGCAATCGGCGTCGCCCGAGAGTTCCGCCCGAGCTCGAGAGTTCCGGTGTTAGAGAGCATTGTAAACTGCGTTTGAACTTGAAAATAGTACATTATCATCATCAGTCGAAAGCCATCGTAGACATCCACTGTTAGTCGCGGAGAACCTAACGGATTGCCGGGGCTCCGGCTCGACGTGCAGGAGAAGGAACGGGGTGGTATTTAGTCAGTAAGAGTCTGACACTCCCTCCTGCCTCACCCAGGCGGGAGCAGTCATTCGATAATTTTCCCCCCTTAAAACAAAGACATCCACTATTAAACAAACCTTGAAAGTATCTTTTCGGAACCTCCAGGAAGGGTATGTGATTGAAAAAACGTCCATGTTGATTTTTCGATCATTTTTTCCGCAATTGCCAACAACAGCATAGAACCTCGAATTTTGTTGGATGTATGGCAATAAGCGAAGTGCTTCGCATCAAGCTTCCTTGTGCGTACTGCTAAGGAATGGAATTTTTTGCCAGAGTCTGTATATCCTAAAGAGTATAAACTTATATGTCATCAAGACCCGAGTGAATAGATTACTTATGGGACGACGTGCTCCATCGTAGTAAGTCGTGCTCAAATATCGTGCCGTCTCTGTCATTTTACAAAAAATTTGTAGAGATAGAACTATACTTAAGCATGACTTAAAATTGAGTAGCGTTTCAGTATTCCGACAATAGTGCTACAGAAAACTATTCAAAAACCTACTATTAAACTTGATTCTTTCCTTTAAACTGCCATTTTAAGTTGTGCCAACATTCACTAAGATGGCGCGCGTAATTCTGTTACCTCTCGCGGTGCAGTGAAGGCGATTCAGCCAGTCACCAGTCGTTCAATGTCATTGAGTTTGAGTTAAGCTTTACTTAGGTAGCGGTAAAATATATATCGCATTTAAATTACTACAGTCGACTTCGATAATTCGAACCTCTCCATAGATTGAAGTTATCACAAGGCCCCTAGAAAATCAAAGACCTCTTTGAACATATCGGCATCAAAATCTCAAGAAAGAAAGATCTCAGAACTTGCAGAGGTCAATAGTAGCCAACGTTTTGAATGAAGTTTGAATTTCCGACCATTTGATATTTAAATCTAGCATGGCTTGAAACTAGAGGTAGTCGAGTTCCTCGTCAAATTATTACGTGAGTAAGCCGAAAACATAATAATTTATTTAGTATGTCTCACGAAAGTTACAATACATTTGATATTTGGTAATTCGAAATATTTTAAGAGTCCCTCCCATTACGAATTAACTGTAGAGAGTCGACTGTATAAAGAAAGAAATATTAAGCTGTTTTGGTGTGATGTCTAAAAAGGAATTACGTAATTATGTTTGATAGAGACCGGGTAGCAACGCGCTTTGAAAAACCTTTCTTTTAGGGGAAACAATCATCAAATGACTTATCCCTGTGTGAGGCGAGAGAGAGTGTCAGACTCTTACTTACAAAACACCACCGCGTTCCTACTTCTGCATAAAGACAGAGCCGGGATAACCCGCTAGGCAGTACACAGCTCCCGTCTTAGCATTTTACTACACTCTCCTAGGGTGTATGTTAGTCACTCGGATAAGTCCTAAGTATTAATTTACTACGCGAGACGATCTCCGGCCACCGTAAGCGCGGGCCTGCGGACGGCGAGCATGGGTGGCTCCCCGTCCGACCAGAAACAGACCCGAGCGTACGGCGCCGAGCGTTCCGCGCGCGCCTCAAAGAGCCATCAGACCACCACAGATAGGGCCCAACAGGGCCGATGCCGATTCGGAGTCGCGGAGAACCTAACGGGTAACCGGGGCTCCGGTTTGACGGCCCGTGCAGGAGAAGGAACGGGGTGGTTTTTAGTCAGTAAGAGTCTGACACTCCCTCCCGCCTCACCCAGGCGGGAGCAGTCATTCGACGATTTTCCCCCCTTAAAAAAAAGTATTAATTTACTAGCTGACCTGGAAAACTTCATACTGCCTAAATTGGACTTCCACGAGCATTTCAAAGTCAAAATTAATCAAATCGGTTCAGCCGTTCTCGAGTTTTAGCGGGACTAACGAACGGAAAATTATTTTTATTTATATTTATTATTTAATTCAAATAAGCGTTTAAATATCGCGTGTTATCTCAAAATAGTGACTTAAGATTACCGTTCGTTTCATATATTTGTATGTATGTATGTATGTATGTATGGTTAATTACGATAGTATTTATTCGCGTGGGAACTCAGTTCGCATGTATTATTAATTAACTACATACAATTTGCATGAAATTACGTACATTTTTATTATTATAGCGTTAACAAGAATATTTGCAAAACTGTTAGTTTTTTTTTGTATAGATGGCGCTGCATTCGGGTTTGCTTTTATAATTTCATCATCGTACAATCAGCCACGTACTGTCAACTGTCTCACACAGTCATTTTTTATGCCATAAGCCGGTAATCGAGCATACGGATCACCTGATGGTAAGCAATCAGCGTCGCCCATGGACATTGGACACCTGGAAGACCAGTGGCGTTACAAGTGCGTTACCAGCCTTTTGGGTATTAGACATTTAAGTATTCTTAGGATTCAAGGATTGGGAAGATTTGGGAAGGGGGGACGTGTAATTGGGCCTCCGGCAACCTCACTCACACGACGAAACACAACGCAAGCGTTTTTTCACGTCAGTTTTCTGCTTGTTGATGGTATCATTCCGGTCGAGCCGGCCCATTCGTACCGAAGCATGGCTCTTCCATACTAAATTAGTCCTCCCCAATCTACTACACAACGCGAGATTAGATGTTAAAGTGCTTTAGAAATAAAGCTGTTGTTACTGATGGGAGACTACTTAATATTTACTTTCTTCAGTTAAACGCTCTTAATTGTGACTCGGAAACTATTTTTATATTTTGAAGGGGGAAAAAATCATCGAATGACTGCTCCCGCCTGGGTGAGGCGGGAGGGAGTGTCAGACTCTTACTGACTAAAAACCACCATGTTCCTACTGCTGCCCTTCGAGCCGGAGCCCCGGTAACCTGTTAAGTCCTCCGCGGCTTCAAATCGGCATCAGCCCTATTGGGCCTCATTTGTGATGGCTTTTTATGGTATAGGTCAATAAACGAACAGACGGATCACCTGATGGTAAGCAATCAGCGCCGCCCATTGACACCCACAACACTAGAGGAGTTACTAGAGTGTTGCCAGTTTTTTTTGGGGTTAGCGAATAGGGCATTGAGAATTGTGCCTCGGAATGTGCAAAACCAGTATAAAATCACCGTCGAATGGACACAAAGATGATACAAAGCAGGACCATGATATACTGGGATATGTATTGCAACTACTTAATAATCTATGAAAAACCAATGTAAATTGACCTTTCGATGTGCACAAAGGTTATACACAACGAGACCAAGACTAACTGGTTTGCACAGCTCGATAGTTATCCAGTATAAACTAACCGTTGAATGTACGGAAAGATCATATAGAAGGAGACCATGATATACTGGTATTGTTTAGTTCGATATGAAGCCGTTTGTATACTTAAACGCAATAATCTTACAACACGACGGATACCATTGAGGTGCTTTAAAGGAAGTGGGTAGGCAGGAAGTGTGTTCAGTATGAACTAATATTAACATACATACATACATACATAGTTACTATGTTTGTTTGTCCGTCCGTACTGAGAAAATAAATGACATAATATTGTAGATATGCCATCATCCACAGAGTTTAATATATTTGTAGCGCTACTCTTGCCACGGGTATCGTATAGCCGAGTATAGGATCGCCCAGCAGCGCTCTCTGATAAACCTGTATCTTTTAACTGATATCGATGCGACGTCACATCGCAAATATGTGCGAGCTCCGCAAGAACTTGCGAATTGATTCGCATCGCGCATCAAAATCTTATCTTCCCAAAATCTTTGTTTCTTCAGAGTCAAAGTCAAAGTCAAAGCATTTATTTCAATTAAACCATAGTTAGGTACTTTTGAAACGTCAACAAATACAAAATAAATAATAGTCTGTCAGTCAGTCCGTCAGTGAAACTAAGTGAAGCTAGGTGTTCATTCCAAAAAGTAGATTCGAATGGAGAAGAACGAGCAAGAAACTCCATTCGTTACTCTTTTTAAAAAAGTATGTTCTACAATGTCTCTGATACATATTTCAATACTGTACGCATATGTAAGAATAATGCATAGACACGTTTGACGCGTTATACTAATAACATACTAAAATAAAAAAATAAAAAATCTTAAAGTCCAACATGGTGCTCACATATGCATACTGACAATCCATAGAATTAGTGCTTCTATACAAGAAAAGGAAACTCTTTGTTTCAATAAAGAAATGCTCGATGCCATAAGGATGCCTCTTTTTCCTGTATCTCCTAAGCAATAACAGAAGTGCACACTTCTGTTTACGATCCATGTCACGACCTAGTCTTCAACTTAAAATACGTTTAGTACGGTTGACAGTCGTCGAAGGAATGGTCACCCTGGGAGACGCTTTGTCGCAATTTTTGTAATTTCACATCGCATCGCAGTTTTGTGTATGAGCCCTTAATCAGCAAGAGTCTGACAGTCTCTCGCGTCACACAAGGCGGGAGAAGTCATTGGATGATTTTCCCCACACAAAAACAAAGGGCTTAGAAATTGGAGATTGAGGCTTTAAAATAGACGTCTGGATTGAAAAAAAAAATGAATTTGTGATCGTAGTTTACCAAACAGTGCAACAGTATTAGACACAATAGCGGTATTCCGGTCAAGGTATGCAGGTTCGATCCCACGGTCTTACAACATTGTGTCTGCGTGTGTCGATATACAATGCTCTATACATAATATTGCAGTTAATTTTAACCCGGAGAAGTAATCCTATCTTTACGTAGGATTTTTTTTAAGGGGGGAAAATCATCGAATGACTGCTCCCGCCTGGGTGAGGCGGAAGGGAGTGACAGACTCTTACTGACTAAAAACCACCCCGTTCCTTCTCCTGCACGTCGAGCCGGAGACCCGGTTACCCGTTAGGTTCTCCGCGACTATAAATAAGACAATAAAGGTGTGACAGTGGAAGTAATAAAAACATTGAGTTGAAAAGAATTAGAAGAGAGACGCTGACAACATGCCCATGCTAAATAGGTCACCTACTCAGTGTAAGTCAGGCATACAAGTCACCCAGGACTGATTTTCGGTGGGCACCCCTGCAGTGACGTATCAGATGATCCGTCTGCTCATTTACCGGTAGAGTTTTTCTCAGTGTATTTGCGTGATACAACCGTTATTTTTGGTCAGTACCTATGTCTTACGATCAGTATGTTATAATAAAAATATTGACATTCCTATTCTAATCCTTTTTTATATTTTATGAGCCGACGTTTGACCAGTATCTATTAAATTCGATTAGCGTTTCTTCTGGCCATCAGTATTGGTATTGGTTAAAAGCATTACCAACGTGGCAAGGGTTGAGGCGTCATGCAAACATAAATGTCCTACAGTCGGTGGCGCTGTGTGTTGGGTTGTTCCGTTCCCAATAAAAAGGTTGACCGGACCAATTGCTGACACACACATCATATTCGTGAACGGGTATGAAGGCCTTTTTTTAAGGGGGGAAAATCATCGAATGACTGCTCACGCCTGGGTGAGGCGGGAGGGAGTGTCAGACTCTTACTGACTAAAAACCACACGGGTATGAAGGCCTTCTTCTGGGTCAGGTCGGCTCTCCCATCTTGTTGGTAGGCTGATTTCGTAGAGCCGTCGAATAGATACAAATAGATAATACCTAATTTATTATTATGTAATTATTTTATACTTTTAGTAATAATTATAGATGTGGTTAATTGTAGTATGTAACTAGGTACCTTCTTTACTTCATAAAAATTGACTAGATGTATTGTAATAAAAAAAAATGTATGACAAGGGCACGGACCTAGAGTCCTTGGAGAATTAATCTGTAACATTATAACAAAAAAAGCTTTACCGTATATCGTACTAGGATAAAGATCTGCAGTGCTAGCCAAATGCCATTTAGCGCTTGTCTACATGTAGAATAGAAAACCAAATTATATGGAATTGACGTAAATTTTGACACTTGTCAGTGTCATCCCCATACATTTTGATATCTACTCTCACTGTAGACAAGCGCTAAAGTGGCGTTTGGCTAGAGGCCCAGGAAAGAAAGACAGAAGCGTTGATACTCACATGATCTATAAACATCCGGACCCATGATCCGAAGAATATGGCACAGACAATGCCCAGTAGCAGTAACACTACTGCGGTAGCCAACACGAACCCTGGAACAAATAGGAGAGCGCTTAATATCGGCCACAACACATACATTTTTAAACAAATTCACATACTACAAAACGAATACATGGACGTTTCAAAATTGACTTCCACCGCAAATTGACTTCCCAGTCGTTTAATATCATAAAACCTGGTCCTAAGTGCATTGTGAGGAAACCTGGGCTTATCCTTACTAGTCCTTATCCTTACTAATATTATAAATCTCAATAATATAGGAATAGGAACTATCTAAGTGATTAATATTGTAATAGGTTTAAGTTTCTTTTTTGTATCCTAGAATGTAAGTATTTTGGCTCTTGCTGTAAACTTTCATTTTAATGTAAATAAATAAATAAAAAAATAAATAAATAAAAAATAAATAAATTGGAAAGTGAGTTTGTTTGTTTGTTCCACATTCACGCCGTAACTACTAAACCGATTGCTTTGAATTTTTGCAGATGTGAAGTTAGAAGTCTGGATTAAATAATAGGGTACTTTTTATCCCGGAAAAATTGATATTCTCGAGTGAAAATGAAATTATTGGTATAGATGGCGCTGTGTGTATTGGTATATGTTACATAGGCTACTTTTTATCCTTTTATGACGCGAGCGAAGCCGCGGGTAAAAGCTAGTTTCTAATTATAAGTTTGAAATCGCCAACCCGCGTTGAGCAAGCGTGGTGATTAATGTTCAAACCTTCTCCGCGTGAGACGAGGTCTTTGGTTATCAGTGGGTAGGGTACTTATAGGCTGATAATGATGTTGATGAGAATCATACCCATGACACAGGAGATCATAGTGTTTAAAAAACCTTTCTATATACCATGGGACAATGATGTAACTGTAATCTCACTACATATTATAAAACAAAGTCGCTATCCGCCGTCTGTCTGTCCCTATGTATGCTTAGATCTTTAAAACTACGCAACGGATTTTGATGCGGTTTTTTTTAATAGATTGAGTGATTCTTAAGGAAGGTTTATTTGTGTAATATAAGCATATTGCACCCGTGCGAAGCCGGGACGGGTCGCAAGTATATTATAAATGTGAAGTTTCTATGTTTGTATGTTTGTCCGTCAATTACGCAGAAACTACTGAACGGATTTTGATATAATTTGGTATACAGGCAGGGTATGGGCTGACTTAGGTGATAGGATACTTTCTATCCCGATTAAATGCTCACTTGGGGCGACTGCGTCGTTGGCCAAGTGGTCGCAAGTGCGACTGCCGGGCAAGGGGTCTCGGGTTCGATTCCCGGGTCGGGGAAAGATTACTGGGTTTTTAAAAAAAATCGCAGTAGTAGCACGGAGTCTGGAATTACATGGGACTCATAACATAAATAGTGAAAAGTGGGTGTTACATTGTACAGTGGCATAATGTCCACCCCTTCGGTGATAAAAGGCGTAATGTTATGTTATGTAAATTATCCCATGGTATAAAACAGGAATCACATTCTACGCGGACAAAGTCGCGGGCAATAGCTAGTTTATATGTAAGTATGTATGTTAATGATGATGTATTTATATAATAGACATAAACACATAAAAAAATATATGTACACGTATGAAATTTTCATAATTCAAGGCCAAGAAAGTAATATTTTACAGAATTTTTATAAATACGTATTGATTTGTACATAAAAAATTGTGTACGGCAAGTACATACATAGGTATTATTTATTACATAAGTATTTGTATTTTTTTACATACTTATTTGTCAATTTCATCACGTGTTTCGAAATACATTCTTTCTATCTATATTTTTACCTAAAATGAAACGTTTAAGTGTTCCCACACTTAAACGTTTAAACGAGCCATGCTTCGGCACGAATGGGCCGGCTCGACCGGACTGATACCACGGCCGAGCAGAAAACCGACGTGAAGCAACGCTTGCGTTGTGTCTCGTCGTGTGAGTGAGGTTACCGGAGGCCCAATTACCCTCCCCTTCCCCAATCTCCCCAATTCCTGAATCACCAACGATCCTCAAACTACTAATCTCCGGTAACGCACTTGTAACGCCTCTGGTGTTCCACGCGTCCATGGGCGACGCCGATTGCTTACCATCAGGTGATCCGTCTGCTCATTTACCGGCTTATGCCATAAAAATGTTTGTTTGTTTGACTGCGCTTATCTATGAAACTACTGGTCCTATTTGAATAATTCTTTTTGCATTGGATAGTGCGTTTATCAAGGAAGACTATAGGCTATGAAACATCACACTATTTTTAATTGAAGCTCCGGTAACTGCACTCACACGACGAAACATGAGTGGCCGTGGTATCAGTCCGGTCGAGCCGGACCGTTCATATCGAAGCATGGCTCTTAAAATTTTAAAACAATTCCATTACTTGTTTGCGTGGTCACAATGCATTCCTGTATTCAGAAATAACTGACTTTACTTTCGTCTCTGCCTACCCCTTTACAAACAACAATCATTATACAACACCAAAATACTCACTTGACCCAAAAACCTTGACTAGACGTCACACTAAACGCAATCTATATTTTATATCGATCTCATCAAATTCGACTCAGCTGTTTCGTAGTACGCAACCGACACGCAAACACTTTCACATTTAAGTATGATTTAAGTGTATGAATAAGCAATAACTTAGATTTACAAGGTCGTTGCTTATGTAACGCAAAACTTATATTATTTATTGCTATGTACTTATAATTCTTATGACGTACGTTTTTATTTTATGGGGGGAAAATTGATAAATGACTTCTTCCGCCTGGGTGAGGTGGGAGGGAGTGTCAGATTCTTACTGACTAAACACCACCCCGTTCCTTCTCCTGCACGTCGAGCCGGAGCCCCGGCAACCCGTTAAGTCTTCCGCGGTTCCGTATCGGCATCAGTCCTATTGGGCCCCATGCCCCCATCTGTGGTGGTCTGATGACTTTTTTATATACTTGGAAGCAAAGGATGCCACTAGCGTGGCGTCTCTTTCATTTCTTCATAAGTATTTTCTGACACAAGTATTTAATAATTGGTAACATATGCCGAATGAAAGGCATTTTATTTACCTTTAAAATGAGAGCCGCGTGGTGGCAAGTGCGACTGCCGGGCAAGGGGTCTCGATTTTCCGGCCGACTAAGTATTAATAGGCTTTTTTTTAATTCTCAGTAGTAGCACGGAGTCTGAAACTGTGCCAGGTATAAGGCAACAGGCTCACACCCTATTACATGGGACTTATAACATAAATAGTGAAAAGTGGGTGTTACATTGTACAGTGGCATTAAGTGCCCTAATGAGCATCGCTGCCTACTTCTTCTGAGATAAAAGGCGTGATTGTTTATGTTATGTAAAATGAGAGCATATTTTTGTAAAAAGAATATATTTTTAGAGTTATAAAGGGTTCTATAAACTGAAAGAAATAATCGCTAGTGGCTCCGTTCATTTGCCTTCAAGTGTATATTTACTAAATATGAACTGTACAGTAATGCTAGATCTTATACAATATGACATTTAACAATTATGAAATCTCATAAGCAGGTCACTTTCGAGCGGGCAGCCGTTTTAGAGATTAGACCGTGATAGACACGCAGACAGATTACTGTTTCGTGCGTAAAATAAATTATTTATATATCTAGCTATTGTTTTGTAGTTTAATTTTGGAATTTCGAAGATGTGCACTGACGTAATGACTTTCATTTTCGGGAGAACAGGCTCTCCGAAAATTATGGTAGGTAAACAATTATTTTTGACGGAGCGGGCATTATTGAAAATGATGACGTCATCATCATCAATAGCCGGAAGACGTCCACTGCTGGTGTAGCTGGTCACGTCAATAATGACGTATCTAGCTGTTCCCTACATAGTCAGGAACCCACTCGTGCTACATCTGGTGTTGCAGGTGGACTTAGACTACGGAGTCTGCTTTTTTTTTTATTGGGACAAGCCCGCAGCTACCTCCCAGAACCGCTGCAACTCCTGTGCCCCAGGATCTACAGTAGATACAACCATGAAAACACCGGAACACTGAAATCCGGCGCGTCCCAGGGACATGAGTAACTGTCTTGGTTCCCGCAACGAAGTGAATCAGAATATACAGTGTCTGCTTACCATCAGTACAACTGTAAGCTTCGTTGTTACTGATAGTAGATAGAATAAAATTAGCTAATTCTGAGCTAGCAACTTCTGTCTACCCCATCGGTGTACAACACACTCCGGGCGTCGGTGATGGCGAAATGATCTCCGGCCACCGTAAGCGCGGGCCTGTGGACGGCGAGCATGGGTAGCTCGCCGACCAACTAGAACCAGAGCCGAGGGTACGGCGTGTCACGTTTCGAGTGCGCTTCAAAAAGGCATCAGATCACCACGGATGGGGCTCAATAGGGATGCCGGATAGATGATGCCGATACAGAGCCGCGGAGGACTTAACGGGTTGCCGGGGCTCCGGCTCGAAATGCAGGAGTAGGACCGGGGTGGTTTTTAGCGGGAGAAGTCATACGATGATTTTCTCTCCCTTAAAAAGAGAATCGGTCTACAACTGTGTTTATACAAAACAATCGTATTCAGGTAATGAGAGACCTGTTTTAAACACGCTCGATGTAAATGTGCCGGTGTTTTGACAGTGAGCGGGCTGGTGTTGATATTACAGTGTAAATGACACTGCTGGGTGCACGCATATATACAGACATAGTTCATATATACAGATATATATACATCTTGTTTACTTTTAATTTATCATCCCACACGTATGAGCCAACCCGCCATGAGGAAGCATTGTGATTAAAAGTACTGTTAAACATTTTCTATAGCCACGGAGAACCTAACGGGTTACCGGGGCTCCGGCTCGAAGTGCAGGAGAAGGAACGGGGTGGTTTTTAGTCAATAAGAGTCTGACACTCCCTCCCGCCTTACCCAGGCGGGAAGCAGTCATTCGATGATTTTACCCCCTTAAAAAACAATATAACACATTTTCTATACATACATATACATATAATAAAATCGTAGGAAAGTGAAAACTGTACATGGATTTATTTCAAATTTTGCATGAATATTAC